AAATAAGGAGAGAATAAAAGAAAAGAATGAAAAGAAATGAAAAGAGATGAGAATAATAGAATGAAAAAAAAGGAGAGGGCAAAGAGAATGAAAAAAAATGAGACAAGAATAATGAAAAGAAATAAGGAGACAAAGAGAATGAAAAAAAGAATTGAGAAAGAGAATGAAAAGAAAAGGAGGGCACAAGAGAATGAAAAGAAATGATGAGATGAGAATAATGAAAGAAATGAGGAGACAAGAGAATGAAAAGAAAGAGACACAAGAGAATGAAAAGAAATAATAGAGAAATGAAAAAGGAATGAGTACACAAGAGAATGAAAAGAAAGGAATTGAGATGAGAATAATGAAAAAAAATGAGTAGACAAAGAGAATGAAAAGAAAGGAACTTGAGATGAGAAATAATAAGAAATAAGGAGACAAGAGAATGAAAAAGAAATGAGTAAAGAATGAAAAGAAATGAGTGAGGAGGGGCGAGAGAATGAAAAGAAATGAGATGAGAAAGAAATGAAAAGAAATGAGTACATGAGAGAATGAAAAGAAAAGAGATGAGAATAAGAGAGAAATGAAAAGAAAATGAAAAGAAATGAAAAGAAATGAATAATAAGAGAATGAAAAGAAATGAGCGAAGAGAATGAAAAGAAATGAATTGAGATGAGAATGAAAGAAATGAGAGAGAAATAAGGAAAGGGTACAAGAAGAGAATGAAAAGAAAGGAATAGAGATGAGAATAAAAGAAATGAATAAGGAGAATGAAAAGAAATGAAAACAAGAAAGGAAAAGAGATGAGAATAATAGAGAATGAAAAGAAATGAGGGCACAAGAGAATGAAAAGAAATGAACTGAGATGAGAATAAAAAAATAAGGAGAGGGCGAAGAGAAATGAAAGAAAGGAATGAAGATGAGAATAATAGAGAATGAAAAAGGAGTACACAAGAGAATGAAAAGAAAGGAATTGAGATGAGAATAATGAGAGAAATAAGGAGACAAGAGAATGAAAAGAAATGAGTTGAGATGAATAATGAAAAGAAATGAGAGGGCAAGAGAATGAAAAGAAAGGAAGAGATGAGAATAATAGAATGAAAAGAAATGAGAGGGCAAAGAGAATGAAAAGAAAATGAACTGAGAAATGAAAAATAAATAGAGAGAATGAAAAGAAATGAAAGAAATGAAAATGAAAAGAAAAGAGAATGAAAAAATGAGAATAATAGAGAATGAAAAGAAATGAGAGGGCAAAGAGAATGAAAAGAAAGGAACTGAGAAGAGAATGAAAAGAAATGAGGAGACAAAGAGAATGAAAAGAAATGAGAGATGAATGAAAAAAAAGAGAAATAAGGAGAATGAAAAGAAATGAATGAAAAGAAATGAAAAAAAAGAATAATGAAAAGAAATGAGGGCGACAATGAAAAAAAGAAAAAAATGAGAATAATAGAGAATGAAATAAATGAGAGGGAGAGAATGAAAAGAAAAGAAAAGAAAGAATGAGATGAGAATAATAAAGAGAAATAAAAACACAAGAAAATGAAGAGAATGAAAGAAAAGAAATTGAGATGAGAATAATAGAGAAATAAGGAGAAGACAAGAGAATGAAAAGAAAGAAATGAGACAAGAGAATGAAAAGAAATGAGTAAGGAGAGAATGAAAATGAAAAAGAAAGGAACTGAGAATGAAAAATAAATGAGAGAAGAAAATGAAAAGAAATGAGAAGAGAATGAAAAGAAATGAACTGAGACAAGAATAATGAAAAATAAATGAGAGACAAGAGAATGAAAAGAAAGGAGTAGACAAGAATGAAAAGAAATAAGGAGAGACAATGAAAAGAAATGAGAGAAGAAAGAGAATGAAAAGAAAAAGGAGAACACAAGAGAATGAAAAGAAATGAGACACAAGAGAATGAATGAAATAAGGAGAGGGCGAAGAGAATGAAAAAAAATGAGTACATAGAGAATGAAATAAATGAGAGGGCCACAAAGAAATGAAAAGAAATGAGTAGAGAAGAGAATGAAAAGAAATGAGTAGACAAGAGAATGAAAAGAAATGAGTACAGAGAATGAAAGAAATGAGAGAAATAATAGAATGAAAAAGAGTAGACAAGAAAATGAAAAAGAAATGAGTAGACAAGAGAATGAAAAGAAATGAGTAGACAAGAGAATGAAAAGAAAACTGAGATGAGAATAAGAGAATGAAATAAATGAGAGACAAAAGAATGAAAAAAAAAGAAAAGAACAAGAGAATGAAAAAGAAATGAAATAGACAAGAGAATGAAAAAAAAAAATGAGTACACAAGAGAATGAAAAGAAATGAACACAAGAGAATGAAAAGAATGAGTAGACAAAAGAATGAAAAAAGGCGAAGAGAATGAAAAAAAAAGAAATGAGATGACAAGGAATGAAAGAAATGAGTACACAAGAGAATGAAAAGAAAGGAGAAGACAAGAGAATGAAAAGAAATGAGTACACAAGAGAATTAAAAGAAATGAGAACAAGAAAAATGAAAAGAAATGAGTAAAAGAGAATGAAAAGAAATGAGTAGACAAGAGAATGAAAAAGAAATGAGTACACAAGAGAATGAAAAAAGAAATGAGTAGACAAGAGAATGAAAAATGAGAGGGAAGAGAATGAAAAGAAATGAGTAGACAAGAGAATGAAAAGAAATAGTGAGAGGGCAAGAGAATGAAAAGAAATGAGTAGACAAAAGAATGAAAAAAAGAGTACACAAGAGAATGAAAAGAAATGAGTAGACAAGAGAATGAAAAGAAATGAGTAGACAAGAGAATGAAAAGAAATGAGTACACAAGAGAATGAAAGAAATGAGTAGACAAGAGAATGAAAAAAAATGAGTACACAAGAGAATGAAAAGAAATGAGTACACAAGAGAATGAAAAGAAATGAGTAGACAAGCGAATGAAAGAAATGAGTAGACAAGAGAATGAAAAGAAATGAGTAGACAAGAGAATGAAAAGAAATGAGTACACAAGAGAATGAAAAGAAATGAGTACACAAGAGAATGAAAAGAAATGAGTAGACAAGAGAATGAAAAGAAATGAGTAGACAAGAGAATGAAAAAAAGAGTACACAAGAGAATGAAAAGAAATGAGTACACAAGAGAATGAAAAAAAGAGTACACAAGAGAATGAAAAGAAATGAGTAGACAAGAGAATGAAAAGAAATGAGTAGACAAGAGAATGAAAAGAAATGAGTAGACAAGAGAATGAAAAAAGGAATGAGTAGACAAGAGAATGAAAAAAGGAGTACAAGAGAATGAAAAGAAATGAGAGATGAGACAAGAGAATGAAAAGAAATGAGTACACAAGAGAATGAAAAGAAATGAGTAACAAGAGAGAATGAAAAGAAATGAGAGACAAGAGAATGAAAAGAAATGAGTAGACAAGAGACTGAAAAAAAGAGTGAGAAGAGAATGAAAAGAAATGAGTACACAAGAGAATGAAAAGAAATGAGTAGACAAGAGAATGAAAAGAAATGAGTACACAAGAGAATGAAAAGAAATGAGTACACAAGAGAATGAAAAGAAATGAGTAGACAAGAAAATGAAAAGAAATGAGTACACAAGAGAATGAAAAGAAATGAGTAGACAAGAGAATGAAAAGAAATGAGTACACAAGAGAATGAAAAGAAATGAGTAGACAAGAGAATGAAAAAAAGAGTACACAAGAGAATGAAAGAAATGAGTAGACAAGAGAATGAAAAGAAATGATTACACGAGAGAATGAAAAGAAATGAGTACACAAGAGAATGAAAGAAATGAGTAGACAAGAGAATGAAAAGAATTGAGTACACAAGAGAATGAAAAGAAATGAGTACACAAGAGAATGAAAAGAAATGAATGAAAAAGAAATGAGTAGACAAGAGAATGAAAAGAAATGAGTAGACAAGAGAATGAAAAGAAATGAGTAGACAAGAGAATGAAAAGAAATGAGTACACAAGAGAATGAAAAGAAATGAGTAGACAAACGAATGAAAGAAATGAGTAGACAAGAGAATGAAAAAAAAGAGTACACAAGAGAATGAAAAGAAATGAGTACACAATAGAATGAAAAGAAATGAGTACACAAGAGAATGAAAAGAAATGAGTTCACAAGAGAATGAAAGAAATGAGTAGACAATAAAATGAAAAAAAAGAGTACACATGAGAATGAAAAGAAATGAGTAGACAAGAGAATGAAAAGAAATGAGTACACAAGAGAATGAAAAGGAATGAGTACACAAGAGAATGAAAAGAAATGAGTACACAAGAGAATGATAGAAATGAGTAGACAAGAGAATGAAAAAAAGAGTACACAAGAGAATGAAAAGAAATGAGTACACAAGAGAATGAAAGAAATGAGTAGACAAGAGAATGAAAAAAAGAGTACACAAGAGAATGAAAAGTAATGAGTAGACAAGAGAATGAAAAAAATGAGTACGCAAGAGAATGAAAAGAAATGAGTACACAAGAGAATGAAAAAAAAAGAGTACACAAGAGAATGAAAAAAATGAGTACACAAGAGAATGAAAGAAATGAGTAGACAAGAGAATGAAAAGAAATGAGTACACGAGAGAATGAAATAAATGAGTACACAAGAGAATGATAAGAAAATTCACACCAGAGATAAGAAAGGAAGAATACACAAAACATGTAAAATAAGGATGACAAAAATCAGAGTAATAAAAAAAATATACAATTGAATGAAAGGAAAGAGTACACAAGATGAAGAAATGTAAACAGTCTAAAAGACAGAAAAATGAAGGTTTTACCAAGACAAAGAGGTGTACACATATTGATAAAGAAAGAATACAAATGAAAAGGAAAAGAAAGACTACACAAAATGTACAAAAACTTAGAAAAAAAGAGTAAATAAGAGGGAGAAAAGAGAGAGTACAAAAACCAGAAAAATTTGCACACAAGACAAAAAAGAGAGTGAAAAGAGTACAAAAGCCATAAAATGAAAGAGTACCCAGGAGAGAGAAAAGGAAGAGTACAAAATCATAGAAACGAAAGAGTACACAATAGAGAGAAAAGAAAGAATGCAAAAGAGGGAGAAATGAAAGAGTACACAAGAGAGAGAGAGAAAAGAAAGTATACAAAAGCCACAGAAATGAAAGAGTACATATGAGAGAGAAAAGAAAGAGTACAAAAGCCACAGAAACGATAATAGCACAAATTAGAGAAACAAAAGTGTACAAAAGACAGAAAAACGAAATAGTACACAAGGGAGAGAAAAGAAAGTGTATAAAGACAAAAAAACAAAACAGTACATAAAAGAGACAAAGGAAAGAGTACAAAAGCCAAAGAAGTGAAAAAGTACACAGGAGAATAGTAAGACGATAAAATCAATTAGAATGGCAGCGTAAAAAAGAGAGTACATAAGAGAGAGAAAAGGAAGAGTACAAAGCCATAGTAGAAAAGAGAACATATGAGAGAGAAAAGAAAGAGTACAAAAGTCATAGAAATGAAAGAGTATACAAGAGAGAGAGAGAAAAGAAAGAGTACAAAAGACAGAGAAACGAAAGAGTACACACGATTGAGAAGAGAAAGTGTACAAAAGCCCTAGAAGTGAAAAAGTACACAAGTGAGAGAATAGACTGTGTAAAAAATCCATAGAAATGAAAGCGTAAGCAAGTGAGGGGAAAGAAAGTGTACAAAAGACAAAAGTACGTAAGAGAGAGAAAGAAAAGTACAAAATCCATAGAATTGTAACAGTACACAAGAGAGAGAAAAGAAAGAGTACAAGAGCCATAGATATGAAAGAGTACACAAGAGAGCCAAGAGAAAATATGCAAAAGCCATAGAAATGCAGGAGTACACAAGAGAGAGAAAAGAAAGAGTGCAAAAGCCATAAAAATAAAAGAGTACACAAGAGAGAGTAATGAAAGTGCAAAAAGACAGAGAAACGAACGATTACACAAGAGAGAGAAAGAAGGAGTACAAAAAAGACAACAAAAGGAAAGAGTACAGAAAAAAGAGAAAGAAAATGTACAAAATCCATAGAATTGAAAGAGTACACAAGAGAGGGTAATGAAAGAGTAAAAAAAGACAGAGAAACGAAAAAGTACACAAGAGAGAAAAAAGAAAGAGTACAAAAGACAGAGAAATGAAAAAGTATACAAGAGAGAAAAAAATGAGTACAAAAGCCATAGAAGTGAAAGAGTATACAAGATAGAGAAATTAAAAAGTACAAAAGACAAAGAAATGAAAGAGTACACAAGAGAGAGAAAGGAAAGAGTACATAGGACATAGAAATAAAAGAGTACACAAGGAAGAGAAAATAACGAGTACAAAAGACAGAGAAACGAAAGAGTCAATGCAATAATAATCACGCCAGAAAACAATTTAGCTGTCTAAGATCGCTGGGTAGATATTTCCTCCATGTTTTGTGCTGGAATATATGATCGTCAGGTACATTTTTAGCTACATTCTTTATCAAGGAATCGTGTCTTATATTATAAAATACAGAATTTACGTCAAATACCAACCTTCAAGTACCGAAGACCATTTCAAGGATCAATGTCGATACCGATGGCTAACAGAAATAGATTGTTAACCATCACTCTAAGAGATTTGTGTTTCATTATATTAAAACATACACCCTTGAGCAAATTAATTGAAACAACTGCTTTATTTTCCTTTCTTTCAGAATATGGTCAGTTTTAGACCCACTGAAGCGAGAGGGTGTAATCAATTTCTATTTTTCTATGGATTAGGTCATTTGCAGTGGTGTGAACTGATATGAATCTATTTTCATAGTGCATGATGAAATTTGTTTGGCCATGCATCAGATTTTCATCGCGTCCAGACGCTATTGTCTCGATTGTTGATTAGTTGTCTTACGGCCATTGTTTGCGATGGACGTCACTCAAAGGAAGCGTACAAAAATTGTAACACTGCACAAACACGCTGGTAAGCCTTACCAGGGAGGAAATCAAAGTACTATAGACTGGTTCCGAAACCTCCCTGATTTAAATCCAATCGAGAATATGTGGTCAATCTGCAAGGAACAACATCGTGGAATGGACATACAAAATACTAACATGTGCACTGGTTCATGTTTCATTGGAAAAAAGTAAATAATTACGGAATTATTCGTTTTGATTCAGTTAATTTACACAAGGGTGAAAATATTTTCTATATTTTGCCTAGCCTGACACAATGACATAATCATGCAGTATCCAGAGATCACTAATATTACATTTGCGAGACTAGCATGCTCTTCTTTCTTTTTGTGTGCCGTGTCCCTTCTGGGTGTACGCGATCGTGGCTCTCCACTTCTCTCTATCCCTTGTAGCTCTCAGTAAGTTTTGTCTCTTTGCTCCTCCCCCCAGACTCGGTTCTGACATCCATTTGCTTAAGCCCGCTAGACATGTCACGAGTTGCTTTCTCTTGTCTCTCTTTCCCTTTATTCTCCCTGTGAGTATCAGATTTTCCCAACCTTCCTTTCTCATTACGTGTCCCAGAGAATTCAGCTGCCTCTTCCTGATGTTAAGTATATGCTTCCTCCTTGTTTGCATCCTTTCCAAAACTTCATCATTGCTCAAACGCTCGGTTCATGATATCTTTTGCATCATTCCGTAGGACCATAACTCTGCCACCTCGAGTCTATTTTTCATCTTTGAGGAGACCGTCACTAGGCTATTTTGAAATACAAATCATCGACTTCACGACCAATGGCTTGCGAAATATGTTTGTTGACAGTCACTTAATGGTTGCATAATGGCTTATGTTGTGTCGTAAACAGGAAAGGCCCTATATATACATACATATATATATATATATATATATATATATATATATATATATATATATATATATATATATGCAGTGTTGTTTCGTAAATAGAAACGGTTGAGACATAAATAAACAATATAAAAAAGTAGTTTATTCCGGAGAATAATATGGCACTCGGTTGAGAACAGAGATTAATGTAATAAACAGTAAATCGTTGGTTTTACCTGAGATCTCCCCACACCACAAGGCAGGGTGTGGCACAAGGACAATTTATACAATGTTGCTTTCCAAGGGCGTACACTCGGGCAAAAAGTTTCCGTAAACCCGGATAAACGGGAGTCGAGTTGCTGTCTACTTCCACAGACGAGATGCTGCGCATAGGCATAGCCATGACTGGGTTCCTTCGGGCAGAAAGGTCGACTAGTTACGCTTTAAAGAAATCTAATAGTCAAATGCTCTCCCTCAGTAAGAGCTGATTAAATAGTCTTAGCCCACTCCATCTTTTGTGGGTGTTCAGCTGCTGCACAACATATATATATATATATATATATATATATATATATGTGTGTGTGTGTGTGTGTGTGTGTGTGTGTATGTGTGTGTGTGTGTTTGTGTGTGTGTGTGTGTGTGTGTGTGTCTGGGTGTCTGTGTTTGTGTCTGATATATATATATTACTTCAAACGCTATTATGGTGGATACATCTTATTTGAGATAGACGCTCCAATTTTTTGTAAACAGTGTAATATTGTTACCTCATCATTTTGTATAAACTACTTTTAAAAGGAAGCAAATGGGTTTATAGATGTCCTAATATATATATATATATATATATATATATATATATATATATATATATATATGCACTCTTGTGTCGTAAATAAGAAAGGTTGAGACATATATAAAAAAATTTTATTCCAGAGAATAATATGTCACTCGTTTGAGAACACAGACTAATGTAATAAATATTTGCTTAGTATTTATCTCCCTACAAGGCGGGATGTGACACAAGGCTAGTTTTTTTTTTCGTGGGGCTTCAGAGCCCGTAGGCTCGGGCAAAAATTTTCCATTGGCCCCGTAAGTATGGGGTCGGGTAGCTGTCTACTTCCTCCGACAGGCCTCTGTTCTACGACATAACCTTGTCTGGGTCCCGGCCGGAGGCAAAGAAGTCCACATGCAGAATTAACAATAATCGTTAACTGCTCTCGCTTAGTAAAATATATACCACGTTCATTCACGTTGTAGGCGATCAAGACTCTATACAGCTTCTTCCTGTCTCTTGTTGCACCAAGTAATATTTTCTCTTTTATTATATGTATTTTTATTTCTAGTATGTGTTCCTCTTTTTTGCTTAATCTTGTTAAGTAGGATATTTACTTATTCTCTCGGCTTCTCTTGCCTTCGATATGCCCAATGAGAGTTAAATTCTCCAGGCCTCCCATATTCATTATGTGTTCAAAAAATTTCAGAGATATTTTTCCGAGTGCAATCAATGCTTCTCCGTACAAGCGAAGTGTAAGTTAGTACGGTTAGGTCCTGCGACGACCTGATAACCACACCACCATAGTCATCATCAGTCCAACGCGCCATCTTCCGAATGGGGAGACCCTGGAGGCCAACCACGCAGCCTCTGCAAGGTTGTCGTCTCTAGGATCTCCAGCAGATCAACCTGGCACTGGAGGATGTTCCGACGCTCTTGCCAAGACCGTAAGAGCTGGTTGGACAAGGTGGCTCTCGTGGGCTCAACATTTGATTGCGTGAGATTTAGTAGCAGTATTCGCCGTAGAACTTCCATCTTTGTCACATATTCTCTTCATATTATTCGCAACAGTAACAGTAAAAAGCTGCTACACTTCTTTTCAACCTTGACAGAGATTTGTTATACAAACAAAAAGATCATTAATATAATAGTAATAATAGATGTTTCTAGAATTTCATATAATTCTTATCTATTAAAAAAATAAACCAAGTCTTCGCTGACAATATCTGAATGTTTTGCATTCGTTGCTTGATTTGAAAAACAAGAATTGGCTTTTCAATTTGATTCGTGGAATAGATATTTCTTTGAGGTTCAGAATGCCTCAAATTGTACCTTTGAAAAAGTTTCCATCGTAGCTGAATTAAGAAGACATTCCAGTGCGTATAGTTGTTCATCTTAGCCTAGATTTCGGTAATTCCAAAAACGATGTAAAAAGAAAAGGTACGCTATTACCTAAATAACTAGGATAAAAAGTACAACCCCTTTCGTAATCATTTTACTGTATTTACTTACGAGCAGCCGGGTAATTCTTTCTTCCAAATTCCATAAATATTATATATATATATATATATATATATATATAGACTGAGTATGGAACTAAACTTATACATGCATATAAGCTTATGTGTAT